GCCAGAAAACTTAAAGTGACAACATCCCTTAGGACAGAACGGCGCACAAAACAAAAACACACTGATTTCCTCTCCCCCCCCCCCAAGGCTCCTGCCAGGGTGCTCTCCTGGCCACCACGTGTGGGATGGTTGGGTCTCACTTGCCACCCCCGTCTGCTGGCTGGGCAGCGACCACCCAACCCCAGATGCTCAGGCAGAAGCCGCGGTGGCCGCCGAGCTTCCCACACCCCTGGCCGGGCTGCAGGCAATGCCAGGGACTCTTGGTCGACATGCATCTCAGGCTCCGGTTTCAAATTTCCTTGCTTTCCCCAGCTAAGGACGGACTCCTGGTGTTCAGGGACCTGGAGCTGCTTGTAGCGTCCGAGGCCAGAAACCTTGCTCAGACTCAGAATTAGCAACGTGCAGAGCCTCTCTCAGGGGGACTTTCTCATAAAAGGGGCTCTGCCGTGTTGGTTAAATGGTTGCGGCACCCTCCCCTCCGTCGGCTGCTCTTTAACTGGTAACATGCGTGGGCATGCCCAGAGACTCTTAAGTAAGACGGGCCGGAACCAGCCAGGGGACTTTCACAGCCTCCGTGGTGGGTGCGTGAAGCAGGCTGGGGTGGGGGAGGGGGAGAGCTCCACACAGCAGGCTCACCAGGCAGCGCACAGCTGGAAACTAACCCTTGGGGGGTTTAAAGAGGTCACCTGGCAACTGTGAGCCTCCTTGCACCCTGACTTGCTGGAATCTGATATTTCCTGTTACTTGCAGAGCATGTAGTTGAGGTTATTTCAATTAACTGCACATCTGTGCTCAGTAGAGTCCTACCCGGCCCTGTGTTATGCAATGGTGAACTTTCCCCTGGGGTGGGGATTCTAAGGGTTGGGACGAATATAGCTACAGGCACAGCTCAGTGTATCTGTGAGACCCGGGGTCCGGGGCCGGGCATCCACGGCTGCGCTGCCTTTGGCTGTGTCTGGTCTTGTAGATGGTTGAGAGATTAGATTCTCTCTCCCCCTTGTTTTCTCTCTTCTCTCTCCACACACACACATACACATCCCTCTCTTATCAGTGAAAAGTTTGCTTCGAGTATTATTTCCATGTCTGAAAACAGACATGCTGCCAGCCAAGCACTGACCTGATTCAGGTGTCTGCGGGATGGGCAGGTCAAGACCCCACCGCTCACTGCACGCCTCACACAAACCAAGTGCTGCTATATGCAAGAGCCCGTGGTCTCCTTGGCGTCTACTTCTCGGCCCCGGGACGCTCTGCCCGGGGACGCTCCGCCCAGGCACAGGGGGACTCACTTTGGGCAACAGCTCACACTTGAGCAAGAAGTAGCACTTGCACAAAAGCTTTATAAAGTGTGCCTAGCTCATTTTCGGTATTTTATTTTAAGTAATCCACCCAAACCAAATTTAATTCTTTTCTGTTGGAAAAGGAGAAAGAGAGAATGACCCATGCTAGGAGAAGACAGCAACGCTCTCCATATTTCCTTCAGGCCTAATTTTAAGAGGATCCCTTTTTTTCCCCTCCCAATTTTGATAGAATCGTCATTGCCCTTTCAGACCAACTAGTTTGTACCTCAGTTACTGCTCCTGCCTTCAGAACTGCCAACTGACCATTCTCTCTGACTCTTGCTCGGAGAAGCCTACAGCACGTTCTGCAGCCAGGATTCAGTTCCCTTTGACTATCCTGGGATAGTCAAGCACTATCTGGTCTGACAGCCCCAAGCACTCCAAGTCAGACTAACCCTGACAATACGGCTGGCACTCTGTGGGGTTTCAGGAACAGACAGGGCCATGCCACCCCTGCTGGAACGGGGTGACGCTTACCGACCTATCACAGATCACCAAAGTCAGGTTTAGCGTATCGAAACTATGTAATCAGCCCATTTCGTGTATGAATGAAAGGATGGATGGATGGATGGGTCTGAGTACGTATTCCTGCCTCTTTCCGAAGGAGAACTGCAAGGGGCTCACAGGCATACATACTGAGTGGTTCGCCATACACAGAAGGACAGACATGGGAGAGGAAGCCAGGACTAAGCTGGTCACCCAGAACTGCATGCCATCAGAGGCGATCTGCATGTTAGCTTCTAGTTTCCTAGCAACTAAAGCAAAGATGGTGACTCTCAATGAGTCGAGATATAATTGTGCCTTTATACATTTTTGTAGGGCTAGGCAATGAACCTACAGAACCACATTCAAGGAGCCCCAGAGGCTTCCGGTCTTTCACGTTCCACGCCCGCCTTTGGGCACCCACGCCTCACGCTCCCCCTTCATCCAATCACAGCATGCCGAGACGCAGTTACTGTTACTAGTGCTGCGCACGCCCACCTCTGTATTCACCTTCACTGTCACCCCCATTTGGAGTATCAGTGGTTCTCAACCAGGGGTGACTTTGCTACCCAGGGGACATTGGCCACGTCTAGAGACGTTGTTGACTGCCGTAACCTTAGGGACAGGAGTGTTACTGCATCTGCTTGGAAGAGGCAAGAGATGCTGCTAAACATCATACAATGCGCAAGCCAGACCCACAACAAATAATGAACTCTGTGGCCGGACTATCAGTAAAACTGAGGTTGGAAACCCTGCAGTAACTAAGGGGCATGCACGTGTGTGATTTTGTTCGAATAAAATGGAAACCAGTCGTTTTTCTGGGTTTAGAGAACAGTGGCCTTAGTTTTTCCTTCAGCCTCCATTTGTCTGCTCTAGAAACCAGGTATCAGAAGAGCTTTCAGAGCTGACAGAAGGGGGGAAAAACACACCTACATGTTTCACTAGGACCCTGGTTGTAATGACAGGGCGATTTCCAGAGGAGGCCTCCGGCCACAGCGGAAGGGCATCAGGACAAGTCTGCCTGGATGTGTTATGAAGGCCCGGGCACTGCGTACAGAAACGGGAGGGAGGCCAGCCCATCCCTTAGCTCAGTGGGAACAGGCAAACTCTGCCCAAGAAGAATGTGTTTCACAGCCCCGATGGGAGAGCTGCCGGGCAGCGAGGGGGCATGAAGAGATGGAGCTGGAGCGAACACCGCGGGAAAGGCAAAAACAGCCGTGGGATGGTCTCCTGTGGAATTGGACCGAGAACCATGCGCCGGGCCCCTCCCACACCAGCCTGCTGGATGCAGGTGCGCACGGGGTCCACGGTCTCCCGGGCGACCCTCCCGCTGGGTGGCTTTCCCTCGTGCCAATCACCTCTGTCGGTGACAGAGGTCATGGCTCCTTCACCTGGTCCACATAATGTTTAATGTGACTGGTTGGAACCTTGGTTTGATTTTGCCATGCCCATCTTTCTGTTTCTCTCCCTTTTTTTTCCCCTGACAAACCACCAGTATTCTAGATACGGACAGGCTAACCCACCGTGGGTAAACCAATAGTGAAATGCAGCTTCCCCCTCAACTCTCTCTACGACCATCATCCTGACTCATGGAAGACAGCGTCGGAGAAGCCAGGGTGCAGGCTGCTTTTCTGAACGGGGCTGGCCGTGGGTTTCTGTGCGCAGCAGCGGGCGTCTGCAACCTGTCTGTGCTCACGCAAGCTGCAAGGCTCACTAGAAAACCAGATGGGCTCCTTTGAGGTCTGCCTCTGCTTCCACGAGGAGACACAGCAGTGCTTTCTGGGGAAGGGCAGACAACTCCACCGACACGGGTACAGAGGAAAACCGTCCATTTCGGCCCGGCCCCGCTCATCCAGGGAGGACGCAGGCTGCAGGCGGCCTCCTACCCACCTGCAAACGCAGCTTCCTCACGGGGCGAGGCTGGGAGGGCGACTAAGCGTAACAGCCCATCCGTGCATTCCCAAATCCACTGCTGTGTTCCTCAGAGCCAAACCTCCCTGCCTTCTTCATTCCTGGGCTCGGCTGAGTCACGTTTTCTTGGCCCCCTTTGAGTTATTTTGTGTGCTGCATTATCTCTAAAGAAATATTCCTTTATGAAATCTGTGATATAATTCTCACTGACTCAATTAGTACTGTTATCCAGTGTATAATGTGAAAAAATTATTTAATAGCTCTCCATCTCAAGACTTTGTGACATATGTGTATGTATTATAGATCGTACTGTAATATGATATGACATATGTAACGACACATGTCACATGCATACATATGTACAATCTCTGTATCTATTGCCCAAAATACTTGAGACAAGTGGAATGACCCCAGTGGTCCTCACACGAACGCTGCTCGCAGCCACCCACCCACAAAGCCCATGTCTCTCAGCCCGACTGGCTCCTAAAATACTTTCTCGTAGATTCGATGGCTGTTAGTGCTGCTTTTCACATATGCAGACTAACCTGATAGGGACATTGCCAGTTCTCCTCCTTCAAGGAAGCACTTCCGAGACCTATCTCAGCACCACAAGAATTTGAGGAAGCCGTTGAACCTGCCGCTAGATCCGGGCAGCTGTCTGCGCTTAGGGACACATGGGGCCTGTCGCCGTGCTTGGCCTGTGTGATGAGTAGCGTGGCCTGGGACGGCTCCCGGGACAGGCCGTGCCAGAACTCAGGTCAAAATAGCAGTGGGGCCGAACCACTGCCAGACAGGAGACCTCCTGTTCTACCTTTGCCAACAGCAACACCGGATGTGCCCAGGTGAAACGGGGAAGAGGTCGGGGGGAGGAGGTAAATACAGCAGTTCGGCTTTATAACGATAGAAGGAAAAGCCCTCCTAGCTTACGAGTACTGTTTGGTTCCACTGGATACCCCTATCTTAGCCTCTAGGACGGCAAATGTGAGCGGAAGTTAAAATGCACACACAGATTATCCAGTCCTTCCTAAACCACATCGCACCATGTGTCATCTCAATTTCTCGCAGCCGCAAGTTCCAGTGGAAACGTCTGTCTCAGCTGTGCTTCTGTGGAGGATTGTGACTGCCTTGCAGTGTTTGCAGGGAGCTGGGAGGACCCCATCTTTTACCGATTTAAACAATGCATGCAGAAAACTGACACCACCATGCTTCTTATTGCACTACAAAGTCAAAACAAACATTCACAGCACATTTGCAAAGGAATAAACTTACTTTCAGTGCAAATAGGACAGCATCCTTTTCTGTTGAGAATTTTACCCTAATCAAGAGAAAAACAAAGAAGAGTTTTTAATGTTGAGAAATAGGGTCTGCTGGGGACAAAACTCTTTTTAAATCTAATCCCAGATAAACCAATGAAATTGGTCCAGTCAGTATTAGAACTCAGTGCCCAGACAGGGATGATGGTGGTGAACATGAAGTTTCAAGTATCAGCTTCTCAGACCAGGCAAAGCCATTCAGAAAGCTTTCCTGTTTTTCTCTGTCAAGAAATATCTAAGGGACTCACTGGTGTGTCTTTTCTCACTTGGAGGGCACATGGAGACAGCCTAAATTCGACCTTTTCGCTGATACGCAAATCTGGTCCTCTGTGGGCCAAGAGCACGCGCAGAGAGGCAGGAACTGCCTATCGGCCCAGCGGTCCACGCCGGGCCTCCCCTCTGCTCTGCTGCTCGGAGGGGCCTGAACAGTCAACCTCCACCCACGTGCAGGCCCGTGGGTACGGACCATCGCTGGGCTGCAGACCCATTTTGGTCGGATTTCTTCTTTCGGAAATGGCTACGCAGCCAAGGCCAATGAAGCCGAGAGTTTTGAAATGCAGAGTAATTTTCCATTACCTTTCTGGACATACATCTCCTAAAATGCGTTTCTTCCCATTTGTTTTTCATGCGTGACGTTTGAAGGAGGAAGCGCATTCCCGTATCAGAAAATGGCATCGTCTCATCCCTGACTCAACGGGGCTCCCAGCGAAGTGGAAACGAGGAGACGGATGAGCATTCACGGAGCACTTCGCGGTGTAACAAAGACCCTCCTAGATGTTCTCCTCAGGTTACCCGACATGGGGCTAGTTGTGAGGATTTAATAATCCAACACTTGAAACACTTAAGGTTTAATTAACATTATATATTACAATAATAATTATTATTAAGATGCCCAAGAACCTTATGAGCTGAATATGTCCCTTTTGCAGGCGAAGAAACTGATGTCACACAACACAGCGGTGGTAGAACCCAAAATCGAACCTAACTTTGTGTGACCCTAAAGGCCATGTGATTTCCACCCCAGATTTCTATCCTCTTTCATCCTTTATCACTAAGGGAATTACATATTCACTGGGCATCTGCTGTACATTAGAAAGAATGCTGTGCATTCTTCACACTTTATCCCCCTTAAATTTCACAAGGACCCTCTAATGTAGGTGTCCCCATACCTGTTTCTAGGAAACTAGAGAAGAGAGGTCACAGAGAGGTGGCCCAAGGCCTGTGTCAAGGTCACATAGAGTATAAGGTTCATCCACTCATTCTACTACTGGGCGGCTGCCTCAAAAATAGATTTAGATGCTTGAAAAAAATTATACTGACTCGAAAAATGCTCATTAATAACTGAGAAACCAGAACCAGGTCTCATTCGTTTTCCCATCAACTAGAGACCTCAGCAAAGGCTACAGTGACGTGGAGTAAGACTTCAAACTTGGTGCCGCCCAGCCACCCCACAGCTTCGGGCATGACCACACATGTCCAGGGCCTAGAGCTCTCGTCTCTATCCGGCACACAGGTCTCCTTTGGCTTCTGGGCCTGAAAGCAGTTGAGGACAAAACCAAGTGTGTTAGGCTCAGGCCAATGGCAGGATGGCCCCCGGGGGGGCGGGGGCGGGTGCTCTGTCTGAATGGAACAGAGCTGTCTACGCCCAAGGCCCCAACAACACGCGGCGACATGGTCCCCTGCGTGCACACATTGGCAGGAACCGCCACCAGCTTCCTCAGAAAATGCAAGTGGGGCTGGTAGTAATGCTGGAGTAGGTGGGGAGTACACCAAGCACGAGCTATGGAGTCAGAGGCCCTGGATTGCACAGAAATGGCTGTGGAGCTCAGGCTGTGAGTTACAGGACCTGTGCAGACAGGCTGTGACCTCATCTGTAAGAAGGGTGTCATAACGACACCCACTTCGGAGGGTGGTCCCAGCGTTCGGTGGGGTTAGCCTCGTGACTACAGAGGAAGCCTCGGCACATGTCAGCGATGCGGAGACGACAGTGTCAGAGCAGCCCTGCCCCCACTAGAGTCCACCTGGCCTCCCAATCTCACAAACGGGCTCCGTTCTCTCTGCGGAGTTGCCAAGGAGGGTGGACGCGGAGTCCACCCAGAAAATCCTTCCTCAGCAAGGCACACGTGCTTCTGGAAAAGAGACGTACAGGACGGGGATGGACAGGGCAGGGAACGCAGGTGGACTCCTTGGATTTTTACAGTTTCCCCGGGCAGTGCAGGGGCAGGGCAGTAAGTGGGCGACCGTGGCCATGGAGCAGGGAGAGTGCGAACTAGAGGGGCATTTGGAAAGATGCTTAGAAATGGAAAGGTGGCCCCTGCGGCAGGAGCCAGGCGGGGACAAGCTTGGACAAGGCGGGGTGGGTGGGGAGGAGGGGAGCTGGGGGGAGGGCCTGTGACTGGAGGCACGAGGCCCCTGGCCTAAATGTGGCCCATAAAGGGGAAACACCAGCCAGACACAGCTGGTGACATCCAGAGCCCTGACCTCCGCACAGCAGGAAGACAATGAAAACCATCAGCCCCGCCACCCTCGGCGGGGCTCACGTGCGGCCGGACCCTCCACCCCGGCCTGCGGAGCTCGGGGCCTGAGCCACCAGGTGGGCACGGTGCCCAGTGCTCGTCTTGCGGCAGAAGGAAGCCCATTATTGCTAACATGTGCGGCAAGAGGCCGTCAGCAGGGGGGCTCCCGCAGGCCGGGCGGAGAAGATGGATCTGATTTTCCCAATGAATATTTATAAGTAGGCCATGTTCAAGTCTTCACGTCTATGTACTGTATCTGCTTTCCCCCCCTTCGTCTTCTTTTATGGGAGGTTTTCAGTTTTATGTCTGAGGCTTTCTAAAGCAAGGCTAATTAGGGATTTTTGGCTGGTGTTGTTTTTTTTTTTTTTTTCACTTCTTTCCCCCCCTTTATTCAGTTGTGCAATAGCAGCAGCTGCTGTTCCCTGAGCCTCATTTGGGAGTCGGGCAAACCCAGCACTGCTTTGTTTACAATAATAACAGATGTGAGCAAAATTAAAGGCTGTCGATAACAGGGAAGGGCGAACAGGCCCCGAATCCGTGGATGGTTTTCTTTTTTCCATTCACTGGACGGTCCTGAATAGGTTTGACATTTTCCCAAAATGCATGAAGCTTTGAGAGGTTCCAAGTCGCCGAGGCCAGTTCACGGAGGCTCGGGCTGGGGGGACAATGGCTGCTTTATTCAGCGCTGGGACTGTGGGCTGCTGGAAAGAGGTCTTCCCGCAAGGACACGAGTTCTACTCGGACGGCCATGGAGGCCAGGGTTCGAGAGGGAAAACTTCAGAAGGGGGGTTGGGGTGCTGCTAGGCAGGAGAAAACCCTTGAGAGGTTTCCTGAGAAACAACCACTTACGCCTTTGAATAGCTCTGGCGATAAAACTCTGATCTGAGAAGGGAGAGAAAGAAGAAAAACGCAAAGGATGCTGTGATGTTCAACAGAAAACCCAGCCGAAGAAACGAGGGAGCAGACCTAACAGGAGTGGGAGACACTCGAGCAAGAACAGGGCAAAGTCACTCAGAAACAGGAGAGCGGAGACAAGGGCAAGGTGGGAGCTGTTTTCACGCGAGACTAGAATCTGGGTGGAAAGTGCAGAAGAGCAGGAGCGAGCTTTGCAAGGGCCACGTGGCTACTGGGGAACGTGCAAGCTCCAGGGGATCTGGATTCAGTGCCCAGGGGACCAGGCCACGCACAGGACGCGTCCCAGGATGCCCAGGTAAAGGTACACCAGCCTGCATCCCACACGTACCTGCGGGCAGCTGCTGATGGGAGCGCACTGCTTCTTGCGACACTCCGTCCTGCCTTTTACGCAAGCGCAGATGGTGCAATTCACAGAGGACCACATCTCTCCATCCTGGGGGGAGAGCACAGGGTTCTGCTGTCAGCTGGGGGCCGAGGGCAACTAACCCAACAGGCTGGGTTTCCTCTGCCAAGGGAAGCATCTCTTACCCTGGGCGAGGGATGCCATCATGAGACTAAGGTTCTCTGAGGCATCCGCCTGCACCTGACCTAGTTAACATTAATATCAGATCTGTGTGTGTGTGTGTGTGCGTGTGTGTGTGTGTGTGTGTGTGTGTGTTCCCCTCCAGGATATAAAAGGAATTCTCGGGCAGCTAAGTCCTCTTTGCATCTTGCTCCTCCTGCATGGGGAGAAAAACAGGCGTTTTCATACATGATGTAATAACAAAGGTCTCATGTTTCCCGCTGGACAGGACAGAGGTACTTGAGCTGTGCCCGGCACCAGCCATTAATTGAGCTGCCTGAAAGTCATCAGTTTATTTCCAGCAGTGACACGGTTCTGGGCCACACGGGGCACAAACATGCCCACAGCAGAGGCTGATTCGGATGACCCCCAGGGCCCAGGCTGCCCCCCGACTGGGAAGTCATCGGACAACGTGGGGCCCGGAGAGCCAACTCTAAAAGCCACTCACGCCACACCCCTTCCCATCACACACTCTCCTCCCAAAGAGCTGGGAAGCACTTTGGGACCTGCTTTTCGGCCCCGAAAGAGCTATTTGAGGAATTTCTTTGCTTCACTGGCTGTGCAGTCTACAAAGGCAGCCCCGCACCCTGGAGAACCGTCAGGGGTGTCTGTCCCTGCTTTGCGGAAAAGAGACGGTCGGCAGCAGCGCTGGGCCGGGAAACGCGCCGGGAGTCCTCCCTGGGCTCGCGGCAAACTGGTCAGAAGCAGAGAAACAAGCTCGGGTCTGTCTTGTAGACTGCCCCTCTTCCTCCCCCTCCTCGTTTTTGACAGCCGTTTTCCGGACCGTCTACTCCGTGGGGACTTTTCTTCCCCGGGAGAAGACCCACCTGAAGTTGTCTTAAAGGGCTGGAGCCTCCCAGTACACATTTCTCAGACTCCGAGTTTCAAGGATGGCCCTCTGTCCATGAGTTCGGGCCTCAGTCACTTAACGGACCCTTGTACTAAGGAGCTTTGCACACACAGCACCGCCGTGGGGGGGGTCACTGCACCTGGATGTGGTGGACAGGGGCGACCTCGTGGAAAGAGGGCACAAGCAGTTCTCAAGGCCCGGTGTGAACGTCACACGCACACCCCCCCGTCCCTCGGGCGTGACGCACCGTGCCTTCTCACTGATGCAAGGAACCGAGACTCTCGCTGCTGCTCTGCAGAGCAACGGGAGGTCTGGCTAAGGGCAGCCTGCCCGAGCAGCCTCCGCGTCGGCTGGGTCGTGAAAAGGCACCTTCGGGTACAGAGAGACTCTCCCCACCCCTGGGGCGGACAGACCAGAGGGGAAACACTTCGGACAGAGCCAACAGTATCCACCCTGACGTTTACATGGCCGCTGGGCAGCTTCCCACTCGGGCCGCCGGACGACAAGGTAAAACACCGCGGAGGTGGGAGCAGCCGGCAGACAGCCCTGCTGGCTCGGCGGGGGCACGCTCTCTCCCCTGTGCTCAGCGGCCGGGCCGGCCATGTACGCAGTGGACAGACACCCTGCCCTGAACACCTTCTGGACGGACAAGAAAACCTCCCTTTGCAAAGCAGCGGTGTGGAGAAGTCCCCAAAGCAGCCAGCTCTCGGTCTGAGCTGTTCCCGGGGACACGAGCACCCGTCACCACACCGGCCAGCGGCAGCTTCGGGTCGACCCCCAGCTCTGGCCGGCCACGCTTGGGAAGGGCAACCATGTTTTACAGGTTTAAAATATTTCATGCGGCAAACATAAAGCATATTTCAAAAGAAAATTTTTTGAAAGGAAAACATTTTCAAAGCAGCTGCTTCTCTGTCCCTATGTACTTGATTCTGAATATGTTTACATATGTAATACTATAATATAAATTAGTGCATTTATAGGTTCACACACACACACACACACACACACAATATGGGTGACGCCAATCTGAATTTCGTTTGCAGCATTTTACGCTTCAGACTAGCACAGTAGTTCAGTAGTTTCCATGAGCTCGGCCCGTGACGTACCCGGAAAATCTTGCTGCCAAACTTGCACACTTTGATGTCCTCCGGGGGCACACGCAGGAGGCACTCCTCACAGCAGGCCTCCGTGCCCTTGTCGCAGCTGCCGGGGCGGGAGCACTTCCTCTTGCACACGACGGTGGAGTCCTGGGGGCCCAGAGGCAAAGTGGAGATGAACGGCGGTTCCCACCGCTGCCGAACACCCTCCCTGGCCTCGCCCCACCAGCCCCCAGTAACTGCTCTCGAACATACTCTAAAGGTACCATATTTTAATGTATGGCAATGCGTCTTCTGTCCACTGCAAAGTTTTATTTGTTGATTCAATATTTGGATCGTGCAAAATGTGACACACACTTCCTGCTTTCCAAGGATTTACAATTCAGTGTTCATGAGACTTAAAGATGCTGCTTCAGCCAGTGTGTGTGGCAAGAAGGCCCTGCTCATCGCGGGACAACCAGTTTCCTGTCCCCTTCCTCTCTGCGTCCCTGACAGTGCTCTCTGGGTCTCCTCCTGGGCTCTGTGCCCCCTTCCAGGAGCTCGGCATGGAGGCAGGGCATCTCTAATCAGGGATCAGGCATGAAGCGTTAATGTTCCATCTCGAGAGGAAACTCCCTCAGTGTGCTCCGTGTTCACAAAGGAGCAGAATGGGCAACTGCCCAACTGGACCCAGGCTCTGGGGCTCGTCCATAAACCATGGGACCCTAACCAAGCCACGTAACCTCTGAGGGCGGCGACACATTGATAGCTACAAATTCAAGCAGTACGACTTGATTTCTAAAGAGGCAGTGTTCCACGAACAAAACAGCCAAGCAAACTGTGTCTACTGATTCACCCAGCAGCCCACGGAAGCCAAGTTCAGAGCAGCTTCAGCAAAGTCAACTTCCCTGGCTCCCCAGCCAACACGATGCAACCTTGCCGGAGTGGGCTGACAGCTGGGAGGGCTGTAAGACCGAAACACGTGTGGAATTCGGTGGAAGACGGAGAAAAGAAGTGTCCCAGGGCAGACCAGCAGTCCCCTCAAAAGCACTGCGTTCATGGGAGAATGATGGTCGAGAAATGAGGCGGGACCCTTCTCCCAGACACAGACCGCATTGGTGAGCTTGGAGCGAGGACTCGTTTCTGAGCCGTACCCACAGGCAGGTTGTGTTAATCAACCCACGTGACTTCTGTGGATTCTGTGCTGAGGACACGGCTTCAAGGGGCATTTCAGGTACCATCTACTATAGTCCCGCTGATTAATCATCTGAGATTAATACGACACTGAGGTGATCCTTCAGAAAATGTCACTTATTATCCTTCATATTTAAGGGTCAGCCCACATCACACAGTGGACAGGACTGGGAGCTGAACAGGACCAGGTCCACGTATCGGGGGTGTTATCACGTGCAAATCGACCTCTCTGAGCTCCAGGTCCTCACCGTCAAAACGGGAATCATCACACTGACTTCTCATGTTTCTGGCGCAATTTAGTCAAATATTTTAAGCACCTGGAACATTGCCAGGCTTACAGAAATTATTGTAAGTCAACTCATAGACTGGGGGGAGAATCCTTTGTCCAATCGCATGTTCTGATCTGTGCCCGCTGGCTTTCACGTGACGCACACTTCACTTCACAGAAGATTTCCCAGTTTTCATCCAACACACACACCAGCTCCCATGAGACTGGGCGTCCGGCCCTGGGCTGAGCCACGAGAACGCAGATGGATGAGAGTCTGTCTTCAACAAGCTCAGAGGGTAAGAGGAGAGAGAACCACGCGAACAAGTAATGACAGTGCAATGCGGCACCCAGAGCTAGTCAAGGCGTGGAGGGAGCAGAGCAGAGGAGACAACGATCTATCTAGGGGCTGGGAAGGCCTCCATGCAGGAGGTGACGTCCGAGGCAGGCTGCTGTGGAGGATGAGGAGTTTGCTAATCAAATTTACAGAAGACGGGGACACGCAGGGAGAGAAATCATTACATCGCAAGGCACTCTGTGTTCAGAGGACTACCACGCCGCTTCTAGAACCTGCCATAGCACTGATGCTGGAGAGGGCAGCTCTAAGCAGAGAGGAAATGATACTCTCCAAAATGACTGCAGCCCGATTCTCCCAGCATTCAGCTTCTCAAAGATAACCATGGACTCACACTCGGATAAAACAACATAAAACGACCGCTGGAAGGAGTGGTGTTGATTACACTTCTTCTGAGTCCTGGGACGTGTTTCCTAACCAGCCCTCATGGAACCCATGAGACCCAACGCACTGGGAGCAGAACGAACCCCCGCCCCTGGGAGGCCTGGCCTCCCTGCAATCGAGAGAACTAGGAAGGGGGTGGGTTTTATGGAAAGCTCAGTATCCCCAAGAGGAAGCTATAACTTGTGAAATTCCTGGAGAGGAAGAGAAGTCCCGAGGATGGAGGCCAAGGCCAACAGAAGAAGTGGCGATAAGCTTAGCACAGGGAAACACAAACCACGAAGAGAGGAGGGAGCTGCAGGAACGTGTCCTTGGGCTCAGGAATGGCTCGGGGCTCAGGGTTCAATGCCAGGGAACACACAGGGCAGCCCTTCCACGGCCACCCCCGTGAAGGAGCACACGCCGCCCAACGCAGCATGCCTCAGACACTCAGGACCCTCTGAGATCCAATCACGGCTGCTGACTCAGAGCCGACACGGAGCAGAGCTGCTCTCTTTCCCTCTCGCGCTCTTTGGCTATTACAAACAAAACCACCACCATCAGCACCGAAATCTATTACTCTCCACTCATGTCGCACAGATGTTTGGGTTAACCCACTGAGGAATGATCTTCAAGTCCTCCGTATAAATGATTCTCCTCTTGGTTCCAAAAACAAATCACCGCATAAGCACAGTCTAGAAATGTGTGTGGCGTGCCCCTTTAAAACTTGGGAGTGGTGGAATTCTTTCTCCACCAGTCATTAGGCTTCTGGTTGCCTTCTGAGAAAAGTGAGCAGTGCCTCAAGTAACCAGTGATACGGTGAACAAAACACAAATACTCTCTTCCCAAACTACCAGGTTTATCTTGTGATGTGCTGTGAATCCATGCCTTTCTTCCCCCCTGGCTGTGATTAAAGCTGTTCTTACTGCCAGGCGTGTCAGAGAATTCATTGCGGATAACTAGATCCAGAGAGCACCACCACGTGCGTCCGTCTGAGTTCAGCTGGTGCCTCAGACGGCCCCTCGGAGCTTGGTTCTCAGCACCGGGCGCCAGTGTGCTATTCCTGGGAAGACGGCAGTGAGTTGTCATCTGGGTCCCACGTGTGAACCTCCCCGTGACCTCAAGTGAGGCTACGATGTTGACACTAAAGCCCCAGATGCTTTTGCTGTTGGACTGCAGCCCCCCCGCCCCCCAGAACCCCCGTACCCTGCAGGTGCACGCAGTGCAGTTATCGTAGAGAAATGAGGATCCGTTGTCGTAAACGTCACTGCGAAAGAGGCAGCTTCCAAAGGGGAGATCGAACACTTTCCTCTGACCTAGACGGAAGCAATGCAGAACGTAAGCAAGGCAGAAGCCAAGATGGTCCCGCTGTGTCATCAGCAATTGCAACACAGGGCAGTTAAACATTCTCACGAGACCAGGGCAATCTGATGCACAGAAACAGAGCCGTGGCTCAGATGTTCCCAGTGGATATCCTCACGAGTCATTAGCTTAGAGAGTTTTCGTTACAAAGAGTTTGATTGCACACTGTAAGCTCGACAGATATTATATAGGGTCCGGCACAAATAAAGCCCCCTTTTATGAGCTGAAAATCTATACCAAATCTTTTATTACAAAATCATAAGCATGTAATTCTGTACCATAACGATGACACTCTCAAGCACACCAAACGACATCTGAGGTGAAATGGACAAATTGCTGTCCATCTCATGGGAGACATTCACATACCCTACCACCAGTACCCAGTGGTGCGACTTCTGTCGGACCCTTTATGTCCACCCAGGGGACCAAGAGGAGAGAGACACAGACCTGCCCTCGCGGGGCGCACAGTCTGCCGGGGAAACACACACACGACACGTGATTCCAGTGCAAACGTACGGTGCGTTCTGGGGGGAAGGCAGCCTGGGAGCTGTGGGGACGGGGAGAACAGAGAAGGCTTCTCAGAGGCTGTGATGCCTGAGCTGCAAAGAGGAAAGCCATCCAGGAAGTGAGGACTGGAAGGAAGGAGGCACGGGGAGTCAAGATGTCCCACGAGGGACAAGATGAGCAAAAAGGAGGACTGATAACAGAGCCTCACAGTCGAGGAGGCTCCAAGTCCGCCGGCAGAGAGGGTGAGGCGAACCCGCGGGGCGCGCGAGGGCGTGCCCAGCCTGGCGCGGGCGCCGCATCTCCGTGAACTCGGCTCGGTTTGCCTTTTCCCCGCAATGTATCCACATGTGCTTCGTGTATTTTGTGAAGTGTATTTTACAAAAAGGATTTATACATCCTTTTTGGCAAAAGGCATGATATACAGTTAAGCTTTTTTTTTTTTCTCCGCCAGTCAAAATACTGGTTCTGAGGAGCTTTTTCCCCTCTTAAAATAAATAGCCCCTGCCTGCTACTCTGACTACAATGACACTACTCAATCTTGTTGCATGGATGGGTGGGGGTGGTGGGTGGATGGATGGGTGCATCAGTAGATCACTGAACAAAAAGAGTCTTCAGCAAGTTTCTCCTCTAGCCCCCCAAACAAGTGTAACCAGTGGCTTCACTTATCCTCAGTAAAATGTAAAATTCACCTACAAATGCCTTAGCACAGAGCCTGGCACTCATGAAGCACCACGGAAAGTGGCCAGTGATATGCGTTGTCATGGTCAGTGGTGGTACAAGTCAAACAGGACCCTGGGCGACGCCACTGTGAAAGTGGCGCTGGGGGCCCCGTGTACACAGACCTCTGCCCGGGCTCCTCATGGAAAAGGAGGAAGGAGAGGGCGGGGACGTTGTGATGCAAGAGACAGAGGTGCGCCGTGTGAACGAATTTTTGGTGGAGGAAAATTGTAACAGCAAAGCAGTGTCCACCCAGCCCGAAGTCTAAATTAGTCTAAGATTTCAGCATCTAGATAGTATCCTAGTGTTTTTTATTTCTTCGTTGCTGTTGTTTGTGTGTGGGGGGTGGGGAGTGTTTCTTTTTACTCACAGAGAACATAAAATCTTACCTTAATCCCAAAGGCATCATGGCCCAAAGGAAGACAAAACAATCAAGAGAGGGGTTCAGAGACTCCGTGTGCAGCCTGGCTTGAGCCATTTCCATGGGGGCTTAGCCCAACCGAAAACAGGTCTCATGTGGGGGAATTGTGATTTTCGAGTTCCCTAAGACCTCTGCTCCTTTTGCAGCCTGTCTTATGATTGACCACAAAGGGACAGGAAAACCTGTGTCCAATACGACGGCCCCTGCTCAGATGACAAACTTCTGAGCTGACTCAGCATACCCACGGTACTGGCTGAAAAGCATTAATCAACCCTGCTTATCTTCAAGGCCAGGCCCCTGAAGCCACGTCCCCTGTGGTGACTTTCCTGCTGAGACAGAACACGGCTCCCACCACGACCCACAGCGCGCCGGTTTCCACCATGAGGGACTGGCCAGTTCTAGTCCAGGGGTGCAGGTGCACATTGACGATCCAAGGGGCACACACATCCGTGGGAACATCTTTAGTCAGACATGTCTACACAAGTCCCCTTTGTCCTTCTTCTTATTTCATATTTACTTAAACCATATATATCTGAGTGTGAGCAGGTAGCAGAGAGGCAAACTCAGTGAGATGAGGAGTTGGCAGTAGAATCCCCCAAAGAGGAGAAACTGCCTGAGGTGCAAGATACCGTCACTGGCCAGTTTGGTTGTAGAAAGACAGACTTCAGGGTGTGGCTGTGACAGGCTGGGAATGAGCAAAATCAATCGGCAGGATGAGGCGGGACTGGGAAGAACGAACTATGGAAGAAAGGACAGAGGATTCGAGAAAAGGGTGTGGACCGGAACTGGGGACCGGCACCCAGAGAGCAGAGACCAACAGTAAAATGCTCGTAAAGGCAAAAATGGCCGAGGGCTTTTAAAAACAAAGGAAGCTTAATGTTCCGTTTTACATGTTCTCTGGGCTTCTATGTGGAGTAGTCACCCTCGGTGACTGTCAACCCCCAGGAAAATCTGCCACACAGGGCCTGACTCAACAGCACGATAAGATGCGAAAAGGCGGGATAAGAGTAACCCTAAAAAGACAAAATTGAGAAGGAAGAGGAAGAGGAGGAGGAAGTAGAGGAGGAACCGGGGCATACGGAGAAGGGAAAAGGGAAAGAAGGGAACGAAGAAATGGCAGAAGCAGGAACACAAAGCCAGCGGCGACTTGGGAAAATACGAGCCCCTCAAGGATCCCTGGAGACTCTGCTGGGGTTGCTGGGTGCTCGGCTGTATTCAGATGGTGGCTCAGGCTACTTTTATTTGAATCTTAAATAGTCCCTACCTCCTCTAACTCAAGAGGCGAAGGGTCACACGGAAGAAGCTGACCTACGGATTATAAACCACAGTCAAAACGTCTCCTGCTCCAGAGACCCCCGGTCGTGGACTGCCTCCTTGCAGTTGGTGGCGTGCACGCCGCCTTCCTCGTCACCAGGGGGCTGGGCTGCAGCACATGAAAGCACCGGCTGAGGAGTCACAGAGACCTGTGTCCCGGTGTCAGCCCGTCACGCCTGGGCTGCGCCACCTTCCAGAGATCTGCTTCCCTCACGGGACAGTAGAACTAATAATGGCACCTGCATTACACATGGGAACTGTATAATATATTTAGTACCTATATATTGGGTTGGCCAGAAAGTTCATCTAGTTTTTTTCTGGAAGATGAGAGGCACATGTTTCGTTTTCACCAATAACTTTGTTGGTTTGGATATTTTGAGTCTGTCGCCGGTCTCCCACGTGATATAACATTGATTGTTCTCAATTAATGTCTCAGTTTGATCGCTATTAACTTCAATTGGTCTACCTGACCGTGGAGCTTTCTTTGTCCACGAGAATCTCTGGCATGAAACTTTGCAAACCACTTTTGACACATTCGATCAGTCACAGCCCCTTCCCCATACCCTGCATAAATCTTTTTTTCTGCATTTCAGTTGCATTTTTACCTTTCACAAAGTAATAAAGCATAATATGCCCCCAAATATTATGTTTTCTTCCATCTCAAATATGAAAATGGCTACACAAAAATTTGCCTGTTTTGCTAAGTTTTTTTTTAAATGCACACTGATATGACAGCTGTCACAATAGAATCTAACAACATTGTTTTGAATGAAGTTCAAGATAACCGAGCACTACTAGAGCCAGCTGATGGAAAAAACCAAATGCACTTTTTGGCCAACCCAATATCACAGCTTTTTAAGATTAACTGAGAAGAAGCACTTAAAATATTTCACATGGAGCTTAGGATCTAGTAAATACGCAATAAGAAAGAGCTAGCACCTCCTTTTCTGGCTGTTACCCCCTGCTCCCTTCCAGACTCTTGTTTTCGGCACGTGATGCTTTTGCCTCTGAAAGTAACACTGGTCCATATTCCTCTGTGTGTTCACTTCACAGGCCTTGAAAATCTGTTCCGACTTATCATCACATGCCCGATTAGAGATAGTGTCTTGGACACTGTCCTCCCTCCAGAGGGCATTTATCGCCCCAGGCTGTCTGGGGGACCAGGTTCACGGACACAAGGGAGGAAGAGAGGAGAAGCCTCCGTGGAGGTCTCGGAATGGAGACAGCCCCTGCGCTCGCCTCACGCTCGTGTGCTTGCCATGAACACAGGACAACCAGAGGACCCCAAGACAAACGTGTGGAAGAACACACTCAGCAGAAAACTCCGAGGACACATGACGTCGTTCTTTGACCGTGCGACTGGCACTCACCCAAGCATTTGGGGCAGCACTGTCCTGGGGGGACGTGGCTGAGGTGCCGAGGACAGGAGAGAATGGGACAGACTTCTCGCACGCACCGTGTCCTGCCTCCCTGAAGAAAAGAGAGAGAGGTACGTAAGTACATTTGGCAAAGTCAAGTGCATGGAGATGGGATGATCAAGGTGTCTGGACCGAACCGGGGCCTTCCCTGACACTAAGTCCCTGGGGCGACTGCTGAGACCCATGGGATTTCCCCCAAGCCTCCTTCTGTCTTCCATAGCGACTGTCCCAGCAAAAAGGCTGCCCTTTAGGAGACGATGACAGCATCTCCGCTCACACCAGCCACCGCCTCACGTCTGTCCTTCTGAAGGCGAGCCAACCGTCTCAGTGTGTCTGAGAGTTGACGCTTGCAGGGCTCCAGCTGGGGACGTGTCAGGCAAACCAGGACAAGCTGGCCTCCCCGCCCAACCCCCGAGCAAGCCAAGGAGCCCTTCAGATCTTGCTGAGACTTTGCTCCTCTTCCGTGCCCCCATCTCTCCGTGGGTCCCGCACGCATCTCCCGCCAGGAAGGCCCCCTGTCTGCCACAGCTTAGAGGTGCTGCTTAGAGGTGAGGCTGGGATGGCGGGGAGCCACCAATCTGCTCGAAACAAGTACAGGGACAGCCGGTGTTCGGAAGAACAGTGTCACTGAATTTACCAAGCTAACCTAATCGTTTTCCACTCACTAAGTAGAAGGTACGTGACGACTGATACAGAAAAGACTGGCAGAGCCTCCGTGTGCCCCGGGAGAAGTCTAGAGCCTTCCAATATTGCCCCTGCCCCCCCGCCCCCGTGATCCCTCCAGCACCCGTCACCGCGGACACCCGTTCCTCCCTCCCAGAGCGCAAAGACACAGTGTGCTGATACGACGCCCCTCCCCTGCCCTCAGAGACACCTGCTTTTCAAGCCTCGGCAACCTGTAACTAAACCTTCGGAAAGTGAATACAGGGATTAAAAAACAAAACAAAACTGCTTTCCAGTCCATTTCCAGCCAACACCTTCGCAAGCCTAATGTGGAAACTGTCCTGTGCAAATGAATTGCTATCAAATTTGTGAACAATTCCAATGGACTGGCTTTTCTGGGACTGGAGGGAGAAACCGACTTAAGAGACCCCCAGGTATCCATTGTCTTGGGCTGATGATCTCTAACCCGAGAGGCCTCGGGAGAGGAGGAACTCGCCTGGAGAGCCCTGGGCGTGCCAAGGAAAAGACCCCACCCCCACCCCAGGCTGTCCCCACACCTTCCGCCACAACACCAGGCGTCAGCCGGCAGGTCACCGAGCACACGGCCGTCTCCCGGTGTTTCCGCCTTCTCTACCCGTCCTCGCCGTTTTCATCATTACGGTTTATTTTTTTGGTGGGGATGGATGAAAAGGGTAGGGCACATTCTGTGTTTTTAAATATTTATGATTCTGAAACCACTCTAGTGCTGGATTCTTCCCCAAACCAATAAAGAACACGTGAAAAATACCGCAAAAAGCTCTTCTGTTGTTTTTACATTATTTCCAGGTCAGCAAGAATCACTCAAAAGCTCCGAAGGATCCCTGGCTGGTCCCTGGAGGCTGCTCACTCACCTCTGCACAGTCCCGAAGCCCCGCCTCTCCCCAGACCCCAGAGGCGCAGCGGGGCACGGAGGCCGGACTCGGAGGTCTGCCCCGGCACACACAGACGCCGCGGAAGCCAAATCTGGAGGGAGCACACGGGCTGCCCTTAGCTTTTTGTTTTGAAGAAGTCTACCTGCAGACGAGGCCCTAAACTCTGGAACCCCATAGGCCACACAAGATTACTTCTGTGTGAGCTTCTCTTAGGCGCACAGAGAACACATTCTATTCATCCATATCCTCTGTTCTTGTTGGATCGGCAACTATTTTTTCACGCATGTTTTAAAACTAAAACAATGTTCAAATGTTGCATAATTGCATTGGAGTGAACTCGCCCACGCTTGGGAAAGCTGGCAACAGATGATGTGGACGCCGGTCACTTTCCTTACAATAAGGTCAAAGAGCGGATTTCGCATCCATTATACAACGGCAGTTTGTGTTTCCCTAGAGGCCGTCGAGGTAACTTGAACTCCGATCTGGGTTTGCCGGTTCGGTCAAGTTTTATTTTGTTTGGGCTGCCGCGCTGGGGCACAGCCCCGGTCCCCAGGCCGCATTCCAGCGAATGCCTGCAAAGACGGCCCAGGCCTTTCGGGCTCGCAACCTGCTTCTAGGATTTCAGCTCCGCAGGGACTCTGGTCAGACTATAAGCTGTGGCTCCACTGTAAGCAAAACAAGTTAAAGGAGCAGAAGTAAACACGACTGTTTCTAAAAACGTACTCAGCCCTGCTGTACCTGCACTGGCTTGGCTGGGCTTTGGAGCGGGGCTTCCCTGCCTCACCTGTCTTCCCCTCATTCATCCCGGCAGGTTCCGCCTGCCCACGACTCCTTTCCAGCAGCCATCCATCCATCCATCCCTTCATCCATCATTTCATTATTCAATCAAATATGTCAGGCCAGTCATACTCTGGGATACGGCACTGAGTGTAACGTACAAGAATCGCTCTGTACGGAGCCTGCGGCCCCGGAGACCACGCCCCCCCGTGCTAAGGCAGAGGATGACTTACTGCTGCACTCAGGATCGGGTGCAACCTGCATAGGCTCCAAGTCGCTGGCTAACATCTAGTTCCTGTCTGTCCTAACCCAGAGCATGACCCTTCCCAGACGCCCTTGCAGTGAGGGTTGGCCCTCTGAGTCAGTTCTGACCAGTCGGAGGTGGATGAAAATGATACACTGTGTTTGTGGACGTCGCCCACAAGTCTTCCATGCACAATGCTCCACTCTCTCGCTCCTGAGTGGATAACCAGCTGAATGGAGGGGGCATTGAGAGCTTCGAGAAAATGAGGAAAGCCTGCTTTCCTGAGTCACTGTATGGAAATCTGCCCACTCGACACCTACTGTGAAATGAGCAAGGAAAATCACTGCTGCATTAAAACACTCAGAACTACTAGTTCTCTATGACCAGTGAGCCCGCTCTGTCAAGATACCCACAACCTTCTCTCCAGTCTCCTTCCTTGCCAGGCTCCTCATGTCTCTCTTCATCGCCCTCAAGCACATCCTACAATGTCCACCTTTCTTATACACACCTCTCCCCCCCCCGCCCCCACCACTGACCCCTGCGGAGACCCTGCTTCATTCAAGGTGTGTCTCAAGCGCCTTCTCACCTGTGACACCTGCTAGATGTGTCCACGCCCCGTAACCTCGTCCTCCTCCCCATCTCTCTCTCCTTTTTTCGTCTGGACTCCTGTATTTTTGACACATCCATACGTTTTAACCCTGCAAGGCGACACTGGTTTGGCCTTCAAGCTAGACTACTGTTGGGCCAGGGACCCGTCCTTGGAGCGGGGCCCAGCATCCTTCAGGAGAGCAATGGGCTCCAGGAACGTTTCAGTGAAAGTTCACTGCACGGAAGGCCGAGCTGCCCCTGCGAGGAGCTCCAGGACGCAGCTCCTTCTTTCTCCAGACGCCTCCAACTGCAGGGCGCTGCCGCGAATGTGGGGTCGGGGCTGTCGGCCTCCACTTCCTTCCGTATTAACTTGAGTTCTGCACATTTTAGGTAATAATCAAATGTTTCTTGGTGCCGAGACTTCCAAAACGAACTCTTAACTTCAACTTGTAAAGCTGATCGTGTTCCTGGGATCCCGTGTATTTTGGTAAGTGTTTGAAAATTTCTCAACAGTTAAAACACACAGGGACCAGTGACTACAGCTGACCCTTGGACAATTCAGGGGCTAGAGGGGCCAACCTCCCACCACGCTGAACATCTTTGTGTAACTATTGCATTCTCTCATCTGGTCAGCAACAGACACAGGGATGCCAGGAACTTGCAAAGCACAGTTGAGTTATGACTTTCACCATTTGTGTTTTTCTGGTAAGGCAAGTTTGCTCTTTAGAAGTGGTCATTTGTTCTAATTGCTTCTCTGAACGCTTCTCCAAAAGGAGCTGTTTTACCAGAAAGACTTGAAACTTGTCCCAAATCTCTCTTCTGCCCCCCGATTTTGGTTTTCGCTGATTCAGTCAAGAGCACAAGGCTTTGTGTCAAAGTTTACCCCCGAGTAGCCGTGGTTGCAAAATAAAAATCTGTCTTCCTGAGCATGGTGACGAGTGCAAGCTGATAAACCCACAGCCGTGTGCCTGCAGGATGCGTCTCCACCCCTGAGGACTGCGGAGACTTGGGGGGGGGTGGCAGGGGCAGGAGAGCGCCCTGCAGCATGTGACAGGGCGACAGGGTGCTCCTGCCTTGACCCAGACGCAGAACCGGGCACCTCCACCGGAGGCAAGCAGCAGAGCAGTGCCCTGCCGACCAGCTCCAGCCAACCAGCTACACTGGAGCATATTCTAGGGAGACTTTCCCCTGCAATGTTCAGTTCTTTAAAGAGAACGGAGTTCTCCGTTTCCAGATGAAGGGGAAAACAAAGGTCAGGGACACTGCGGGGGCTGGCACGGGGGAGACACACATCCTGACTGCCAGGGTTCGTGTGTGACCCGGAAGTCTTACCTCCTGACTCAACACAGTGGCGCAAAGCTGATTTGCGAGCAGAGCACCCACTCTGAATTGCAAATCGGGTCCAAAGCGTCACACACCGATGAGCAGACGCCCTTAGTCATACCCCTCTGTGGCCTGGATCTGTACTGCAGTGAAGTTTCAGAGCCTGACAGTTTTCCAGAGCAGAACAGGAAGTCGAGCTGAGGAGGGGCAGCAGGCAAGCTCCCCAGCCAACAGAAGAGCAGGAGATTGGACACGGGGAGAGACGACACCCCAAGTGGCCGTGGGTAATGTGCACACTCAGAGAGAGAGAGAAGGTATATATACAGACACACACACTGCACTGGCATGCATGTCTATATCGCCGTGGTGGAGTAATAATTGTGCGTGTGTGAGAGACTCACGCACTGGCCTGGGGCTTTGCAGCTGTCGCACGACTAACACTTGGGGGTCAGGTCAGAGTTTGCTCCGGGGGCTGCGCTGTGCGTGGCAGGGTGTGTGGCGGAGTCCCTGGCCTCCGTCCGCTAGATGCCAGTGTCACTCTGCACT